GTAGTGCAACAGCTTAGAATTTTATAAAACAAATTCATAATCAAAATCGCTGTTGTTAGTTATCGAAAAATAACCAAGATGTGATATTTGCGTAAATGTCAGTAAACTATACAAATTGCTATTATCCATTACACTATGAATGTTTCTTTCATGCGAGATGCCCCTTTTCATTTATGGAACGTCGTGGTCGAAATATACGAATCTGTCAGCGAGCTTGATGAAACAACCTTTGGTGACCAGCTTCAAGCAGTGCTTCATTTAGCGCGAAGCCTCCTCCTTCTACCTCTGTCGAACTGCAGACGATTCAATCCCTACCAAACGTATAATGTCCAGGGATAATAGAAGGGCTAGGTCATTCTTTGTTCGACTCCTCGCCGACGCGAGCCTCATGGAGGGGATGAATTGGAAGTAATCTGACGTGTCTGTGTTGCACCTGCTCTGATTTCGCGCGTTTAAAACTGTACTTTCATTCACTTGCGAAACTATTTTCTGGAGGTCGCATATCCCAAATTAATTTTAATCATACATATTTGTTTTCTAATAATGCAAATATTTAATAATTTGTATATATATAGATATAGTTTTAGTCAGCTTTCCTTTTAAATTCTATATTTAAAGTATCCTTTATGTAATATGGCTTCTTGTGCTGTAGCAACGTGCCGTAACGCTTATAGAAATACGAAAGGAAGAGATATTGTATTTCATGCTTTCCCAAAGGACAATTTGCTTTTGACGAAAGAATGGATACATGAATGTCGAAGACAGGATTCTATTAATGTGAAAAACGCAAGAATTTATGGCGAACATTTTCTGTGCAGTGATTATGAAGATGACATAAGAAATCGCTTGCTTGGATTGCCGCAAAAGAAACTGTTGAAATGCAATACTGTGCCGAAAGTAAATTTATCGTATGCAATAAACGAAACAACACCAAGAAATCGGAGACATTTGAAAAGAAAAGTAATGCAGAGTGGTTTTGAAAAACTACATGAATTAATACCAAAGAAAATTTATTTTGAAGCTGAGAACGAAATTGAAGCTGACAATAATAAATCAAATGTCAATGATTTTGAAATAAAATTCACAAGTGACAATGTCCTAAGTGACAATATCCCTGAATGCCCTAAGTGTAAAGATAAACAAGAATGTATTGATAATTTGAAGAACAAAATAATATCCTTAGAAAATTGTAATAAAATATTGAAAAATAGAGAAAAGAAAAATTTTAGAATGTTTGCTCAGCGACAAAGAAGGTGGACGACATCTATAAAGAAATTTGTATCGGAAATTTAGAAATTAAAATCCCAAACAGCGAAATTTAGGAAAAAATAGCACGGATCGGAGAATTAGGAAAAACGGTCTAAAGCATATTTTTACAAAGACGCAGATTAACGCATTGCTAGAAAAGAAGGAAAAAATCAGGTGGACTAGTGAAGATATTTCACGTTGCATTGTCATAAGAGCTCTGTCATCTATAAGGAACGTTTTTGGTAAGAAAAAAATAGGAATTCCTTTACCTAGCACTAACATATTAAGGAGATGGTGCGCTAAATTTTCATGTAGTTCAAGAATTCAGAGTGATGTTCTTCCTGTAATGAAGGAACGATGCGAATATTTAAACTCTGTAGAAAAAATATGCGTTCTCGGTTTCGACGACGAAATGCATATAGATTCTAAACTTAGCTATGACTCTAAACTGGACCAAATTCTCGGTCCTTTTCCAAAAAGTGCAGTTTGGTTTAATCAGAGGTCTCATTTCGCAGTGGAAACAACCAATATTTTTTTGATTTTAACACTCGAATGAAAAAGACATATTCAATCATCTGGGCCCACCAGCGGCCGGGCGGAAAAGTCGCTGAACACTGGTAGTTCGGTCCGAGGTTCAAATCCCGCGAACGGGCTGGCTGCATGGGCGTTTTCGTGGTTTTCCCCATGTGTAACGTGTATACGAGCCAGTTTCCCTTAGAAAGTCCTCCACGAGGGCATCCCTTCCCTTAGGCAGATAGCCCTCGAGGCTTTGCCATAATCACACACGCAAACACAATCATCTGGAGTAGAAGGGAAAGCAATAGTGTCTGATTTAGGATGATCTAGTACTTTGTGGAAAGAGTTACAGATTTCGATTAATAGTTCTCAGTTTCCAAATACAGTATTGCAAACGAAAAAAAATATGGGTTTTTGCAGATTTAGCGCACTGCTTCAAATTACTGAGAAACCGCTTTTTCTTATGGCTTCCACTTTTTCCTATGGAACCTTCTCCTATATCTTGGGAATTAGAATTGAATTCCGCCAGACAATTTTCGACCGCCGAAAAAGAAGCATTAACATATGTTGCAGGTTATATTGCCTACCGTGTGCGAAACAAAGACCCATCATTGGGAACAATATCTAAAAATAGTGCTGATGAACCAATATTTTAATTCAGAATGGATTAAATTATTCATTCTTAATTAAAATATTGGACTTATTAATAGATTGGAGGTTTGACTACACCTTCCCATTCATAGATGAATACAGTTTACGAGTTCGAAAATATATTTTGTGCAGTTCATGGTACAGGTTACTATAAAGGGAAGCATGTAATTGGCTCTTTAATTAATAAACTGGAGAGAAACATTATCCTGAAGTTAACAGAGAAGCAATTCGTTTATTTTGCAGAGGTAGTTGCATTGTGACTGTACAAGAAAGCATATATAATATGTTTTGATTTGAAGTATTTGTAGATGACATTTTAGAAGTTAATAGCGTAAAGCATATTTCAAATGAGAACTAATTTTGTTAAGTTATTGTTAAAGTTATTTTTATTGTATCCTGTGTTATTATTGATTCGATGTTGTGCTAGCTTAGCATTCTAGATAAAATATAATAATATAAAATTAAAGTAATTGACATAAGAAGACCTGCCTCCTTAACCCCCACTTTTGAAAAATTAAATAATTTTTTTTTTAGGTACTGTGAGTAAAGTTGTTTTGTCTAAATTAAAATAACAATCTTACATGCATTTATTTAAATGTAATATTGATGTAAGCCTAAGTTACAAAATTATTAAAAAATATATATGTTATTATATTGAATCGGGAAATATACCAATGTAAAATTTACAATTAGGCTGAAACTCAGATTAGCAGAAATTTTGAAAACTATGCCAATTTAAGGTTGCTTTTTGATTAATTTTAAAAAGCTGTTATTATAGTTATCTTAGAAGCAGTAGTAGAGTTCTTTTAATTAAATCTCAGATAAAGAAATGATTAGAAATAAACAGGCATTTAAAAAAAACAATCCCTGCAAATTAAAAAAAAGGAACTTTATGTTAAGAGTAGCGTATTTTATTTGTTTTATTTAAAATTTGTTAAATTAAATTTTTTAATGTTCAGTGTAAAACGCATACTACAGTAACATTGTCTCTTCTAAATGATAACTGTCTTTCACACACAGCTCATTTTAAAACGCTGATTCTTCAAATTTAAAACACTAATTTCTATGTTGTCAATTGCATCTCCGCGTTCAGTGTCATTATGGCTACGTCATCACTCCCCGCTGCCTGTTTCAGGGGGAAAAAGCTCTATGAGCTAGCCCTTCTCTTTAAGTCCTGATATGTCGAAGATAGTCAATTAAAACCACGGTAACGAAAAAGACCACGCCCACATCTGATGTCATCGAGAAGTCTAATTTTGGCTACTACATGAGGCACAGCGCAGTCTAGCTTCTCGTACATCTTGTAATCATCATGAGACGTACCCAACACATAAAAATACATACACTTACCTAACCTAACCTTTGCAATCTCAACCTCTAATAAAATGCTACATATTTATTACTATAGTTTGAGGGGATTGTACTTAAATTTGTAGATATGTTGACTTCTAAGAGTTGTTCCATATGCCTCTCCAATAAATAAATAAATAAATAAAATTAAACTTAAAAACACTATTCCAAATTGCTGTAAATGAAAGATTAAGAGGTTACATTTGGAACTCATTTTCTGACAGGGTGTCAGCTGACAGTTTTAATCTATTCAGAAATATAAAAGAAAATATCTCTAGAAAATCGCCAAATTATAATTGTTATATTCAAAAATGCTTTCAATGAGAAATATGTTTAAACTTTGATAATAAGCTCAGTCTAAAGTAAATAATAAAATCTCTCTTAGCCAAGTTTTTCATTGTGCTTAACTGTTTTAATATTCCTAAACTAAAAAAGAACTAAAGGAAAAATTAAAAAAAAAATAAAAGAAAATTCAAGTGTTTTTAATTAAAAAGTTAATAGTTTTAATAATGAAACATAGTTATATTTAATCTCAGCATATTACCTTAAAATAGCATGTGAGAAACTAAACAATGATATTTTTCATTTTCACGTACACAAAGTTAAATAAGTAAATAAATAATAAAATGCAATTGCAGATTTATCATCGAAACGTTACAGCTAAGCACTTAATCAGAGAGCAGAAGGTTTGCTTTCAACCTAATAAATTAAACAAATAAAGTAGTGATAAAATATACAAACAGACATATAGTTGAGACATTAAAATTCAGATCTGAATATTCCATCTATTATAATCAAAATTATAAATACACGGTTTAGTAATAAAAATTAAAAATCCCTTTTGATTATGTGCGCTTTTATCAGCGTGGGCTTATATCTATGTGAGCTTTTATCAACGTGGGCTTTTATCAATGTGCGCTTTCATCACTGTGGGTATTTGTCGCGTGGGCAATTATCATAGTGGGCTGTTTTTTGGGGGCTTTTGTCGCTTGCGCTTTCGTCCAGTGGACTTTTGTCTGGGAACCGTAAAAGATATGCCATGGCGAAAAGATATGCCAAAATTATTAGTTGTTATCCAACGAAGACTTCATCTGCGGCCGATATATGGCGTCACCCCTGATCAACTTCTTCACTACTGAAGACTTTGCACTTTTATTACAAGTGCACAGGACATTTTCATTTTTATGGAATTTAACGAACTTTTACAGGTCCTTAGGGGATTGATAAACATGTAGTGGTAAAGGCCTTCGGGTCGAACAACCACTTAAGGAATGATGATCTCCGATCTGTAAATCTGTTTTTGCAACGAACTGAAGTGAAGTAGATAAGGAAAATTAGAAGAATTACCAGAAATTTCGCAAAGATTTGTGAGAAATTATTCTTGACTTCTGTGATCTTATCGAATACTATGCTAGCGTCAAAATTTAGAGGATGCATGATTGGTGCACTGATGGGCGATTGCCTTGGTGCTCCTTTCGAAGGTGATAGTCGTGTATCAAACAGAGTTTTATCGAATTATTTTAATAGTTTAACATCTGGAGGTAATAAGAAAGAAATCATGTTCATATTTTATGTTTATCGTTAATATGTTTGTCTGAAATTAAAGTAGTTTTCCTGTATAAGCAGTTTTTTATTTTTCTGATTAAATTCTAATATTGAATTACAGAATCCATTCAAATCTTTCCCTATACTGATGACACTGCAATGACGTTATCAGTTGCAAAATCCTTAGTTGAAAATGGAACGTTAGATCCCAAAGATATGGCTAAAAGGTATGGTTGGATGTTTAGCTTGTTATCCTTGTTAACGCATCAGTAGAAATATTTGGTTCTTGGAAAATAATTTTTCAGTTGTGTTTAATTAATAATCAGTTCCAATGATTTCTAATGCAATGCAGTTGCTAATTGAAGGGTTTGCAGCAAGAAGGGCTGAGCTTCATTTCTGTAGATTTTGTGTTTGTGGGTCTTTTTTGTTAAAAAAAAAAAAAAAAAAATCATTCTTTGCATTGGAATAAAAAGCCATTTTTACTAGTGCTTTTAATAAGGACAAACGTTTAGAATATAAGTTTAAAAATGAATTCTTGAATTTTTTATTTTCCAAAAATTTAATGTGTGTGGGAGTGGGTTAAGTTTTGCTGAATGTTTGAATTCAATTAAAAATTTTGGAACAGCTTTAGTATTGGTGCTTTTGGCAATTTTTTTATTTGGCGACAAACTTCGGTTGCCAAGGTGGACCCGGCTTTGAAAATCGGGAAAAAATGGCTCAACAAAACCCGATCTAGACTAAATAACAATCTTAAAAAATAAGCTCTTGATTAGAGTAAAAAGTCTTTCTCTAATTTTCAACATTTCTAGTACTGCTATGATAAATTCTTGAAACACTACCGTAAATGAATTTATGGCAGTGATTATGTTATGAGTAATGAAATTTACAAAATGTTAATATTTTAAATTACAAAATATAATATAAATATATTAAATATTAATTTTAAGTAATTAGTTAATATTTATATTATATTAGTATTTAGCTCATATTTTAAATTTATAAAAAGGTTTATTTTTATGTTTTGAATAATGAAATTTACAAAAGGTTAATAAATGCATTTCAAACTAGTATATGTTACTTTAGTTTCTTAGATTCTGTTATTAAAAGAAAATAAAAAAAAATATTTCAAAGTGAAGGAAATCAAATTAAATTATAATGAATAAATTTTTTACCAGTGTTAGAAATACTTTATCATTAAATTTTGTAAATGGTAAAAATATTAAGTGTGTATTTTTTAATCACTCAATTTATTACAAGTAATTTATGATTATAATTTAAAAGCTAAAATTAAATTATCATGAATAAATTTTTTTACCAATGGTAATCATACACAACAACAATCATCATAACTGATGATTTCTGTGAAGATTCGAACAGTCATTGGAATCCACTAGTGGTGGAGTGATAAGCCACCACTGATTGAAGATCATAGCCTTTGTCTTCTGAATAATGGGCAGGATACTTACTTCCATGAGCCTTCAAGGACATTCCACACTTTCGACCTTGCCAACTGTTCACCATCTCTTGCCATTTTGCACTTTTAGTGTCAGAACTGATCTTTACAACAGCGATCATTATCCCATTTTTGTGTCTTTTGCACGAAGAGGATCAAACCCTATGTCGAGAGCCCCTCAGTTTATACTTGATAGTGTAGACTTGGAACTCTTCTCTTCCTATGCAGAGCTCACAGAGAACATGGTAAAAGATATGCATATCGATGAATCAGTTACTAATACCATTATTCATGCAGCTATGCTCTCATCCCTAGGACATCAGGAAAAATGCTCAAGTATTTGAAACTATGGTGGAATCGCGACTGCCATGAAGCAGTGAAAATGCAGAAAAAAGCATGGGGGATTTTTCACAGATACCGTACTTTGCAAAACCTTATAGCATTTAAAAGAGCCAAAGCATGTGCACGAAGTAAGAAGGCAAAGCCAAAGGGATTCCTGGATTTCATATGTGTTGTCAATAACATCCTCTACTCCAAGTAAGCGGGTTTGGGAAAAAGTTAAGAAAGCATGCAGAATATATAAAGACCACTCACTTTCCTTTTTGGAAAGAGATGGCCGGGTAATAAGTTCCATAGAAGAAATTGCGAATACAATTGGTGAGACTTTTGCTGCTGTTTCTTCCAGGCAGAAACGATTCACCTTCATTTCTTTCTATTAAGCAGCGCTCTGAGAGAAATCCCATCACATTCAACTCTTCCAAATCTGAGCCTTATAATAAAGACTTTACTTTGCTAAACAGAGCTTTGTTACAGACTTGTAGGTCTTTTCCGGTTCTAGATGGCGTGTATTATGAAATCCTAAACCATCTGTCCTATAAGTCACTGATTGCCCTTCTCACACTTTAAAATAGAGTGTGGAAGGAGCATACTTTTCCCAGTGCGTGGAGGAGAGCTGTTGTGATTCATATTGCTAAGCCAGGGAAAGATCTGAGAAATTCCTCTAACTATCGGCCAGTTGCCCTTATGAGTTGTGTATGCAAGCTGTTTGAAAAAATGGTAAACAGCCGCCTAGTCTACTTCTTGGAAAAGAATAATATTATATCGCTTTATCAAAGCGATTTTCGAAAGGGAAGAACAACTGTAGATAACATCCTTCTTTTACAGACATCCATCCGAAAAGCTTTTGTAAGAAGTCACCTTGTCTCTGTATTCTTTGACTTTGAGAAAGCTTATGATAAGACATGGAGATATGGTATACTTCGGGATCTTAATGATAATGGCTTGCGTGGCAACCTACCAATTTTCATTCAGAACTTCTTAAACCCTAGAACTTTCCAAATAAGGATTGGCTCTGCTTTGTCAGATGGTACCTCAAGGCTGTGTGCTTAGTGTAACCCTGTTCAGCTTAAAAATAAACTCTGCATTAAAAGAACTTCCTTCCGCCACCTTGGGATCTCTTTATGTTGATGATCTACAGATTAGTTGTCCAGGGACAGACATAAGATACATAGAGAGGCAATTGCATATGGCTCTGAATAAGATCCAAGAATGGTCAGACAAGCAGGGATTTACATTTTTGAAACAGAAGACTTTGTGCACTTTGTAGGAAGCGAGAGGTCTCCATCCTGAGCCTTAATTATATCTGAATGGTACAATTATTCCTGAACTGAAGTAAAATTTTTAGGAGTGCCCTTTGACCAAAAATTGACTTTCCTTTCTCATGTTTTAACCCTTTGCGGCATGGTGGGTCAATATGTGTCCGACCTAATTAATATTTATTTTCTCAGCTAGCAATTTCCATTAGAAAATTTCTAATCTTTTAAAAGTAATTGATTTTCATTATTATTTTTCTTAGTAGATGTCACTACTATACCAGGGCTTATGTTTATAAGCAAAAAATATTTAAAATAGGATCACAAGAGTGATATCCAGGTATCTCGCATTTTTCAATATTTTAAAAATTTTCGTATACAATTTAGGATATATATGATTCTTTTTAATATTCAAAGGTATTTTATTTTCAAAAATCTTAATTGGATTCAATATTTTATAACATTAATTTTGCAGTTGAAATAAGTGGGTTAAAATTTGTCCCACCACACACTTAAGTTTCCGCTCAATAGATGGCAGCACTCACGATTATTTTTTCTTTTCTTTTTTGCATCTACTTTTTTCGTGATTGCGCACGTTTTTACATCTGTTGTATGCTCTGATGTGCTAAAATGTTTAGAAAAAATTAACAAAAAAAAAAAAAAAAAAAAAAAAAAAAAACAACTCAGGAAGCTTTGGATCTTTTTGCTAAATTGTCATCCGATTGCGATTCAAATGCTTCAGATGCCAGTTCTGATTAGATGAAATTGAAATCCAGGAGAGAATAACTGAGGTTGAAGTTATTGCTGAAGAAGAAAGATAAGTAGTTATAATTTGTTTCGCTTTTTAAAGACACAGAGCATCTATGCATGTGGCACTGTAAATATGAATCAGAAGTATCTACCCAAAAATTTAAAAGAAGGCAAAGTTATGTCGAGAGGAGATATAGACTTTTCAGTTAGCGATGATTCAATTTATTGCATAAAATGGAAGGATAAAAGATCCATTTCTATCCTGTGTTGCTTGGGAAAGGCAACAGAAATGAAAGAAATTAATAGAAAAGAACAAGATGGAAAAACAAAAAAAGTACTGTGCCCATATAGCATTATTTCATATAATAAGAATATGGGATATGTCGACTTATTTGATCAACTGAAATTATTATATGAAATAGACCTCAAAAGCAAGAAATGGTGGCACAGGATCTTTTTTTACTTTTTAGATGCGAGTATAGTAAACGCATTTATTCTATTTAAGTTTGTTCGCGAACCCATTCATGATGTAAAAACAATGAAAGATTTTCGTCTCTCAGTTATAGAAGGTTTAATGGCACTTGGAGGCAAGAAAGAGCTGAAAAGAAAACTGAAATCCCCAGTTCAAATAAAAACTAAAAAAACCGTTCGTACAACCAGAAAAAAGAGACTAAAAAATGTAAGTCACACGCCAAAGAGAACGAGCAGGAGAAGATGTATATATTGCAGCACATCGAAAGAAGAACGACGAATATTTTGGATGTGTGAAACATGTGAAATGCCTCTATGCTTACAAAAGAATGAAACAATATGTTTTTCAAAGTTTCATGAAAAATAACTTTTTTCAATTTTAATCACATATAAATGTTTTTCAATCAAATGCCAATTTTAATATTTTATTTAGTATCATATGTACGAGTATTAAATTTTAATCTTAAAATAATGTCCAAGAAAATATTTCTTTTTGTTCCTAAAATTTAAAAATATTAAATATATTGTACAAAATGCATTTTAATGTGTTTATTATCAATATTTTAGAATGCATGCTTTATTTTGTTTATTCATTCCACATATGATTTTTTTCCCTGCTATACACCAGTATGCTATAAGACATGTGCTAGTTGCATGGTGGGACAAATGGTATCCCACCTTCCCCCGTAAAAAATAAAAACGCAGAATTTTTTCCAAGCTTGAAAGGCACTTAAGTAAGTCCATCTGACTTATTCTAAGGCATTTTTTTAAAGATTAAAATATTTTTTAATATGCGTGTCGCAAAGGGTTAAACCTGAGAAAAAAGTGTTTAAAAACATTAAATATTTTAAGTCTTGGTGAACATCCCCTGGGGTGCAGAGCGTTGCTCTATGTGTCACATTTACAGATTGCTTGTCCGCTCTAGATTGGACTATAGCTCAGCTGTTTACGGATATCCGCG